ATTCTGGGAGTTGAAGTCCACTCATCTTAAAGTGGCCAAGTTTGGACAACACTGGCATACACACACATCAGTGAGTTAAGGCAAAGGTAACAATTTTGTTTTAAATTGTTTCTCGCAAAATGTTTCCTTTTCTCATTTAGGAAAAGTGGCTAAAAAGAGAGGTTTACCATAGTTTCACGTGGTGCTAGCTATTAGCTTGGCCGGCTACCAAAAAAGGCTTGACCAACTTTGTGGAAATCCTGGGGGTCAATGGCCATTAGCCTTGGTGGCAGCGTGACTGCCTCTGAAGGCCATCTGCTGGGAGACAAGTGGGCTTCCCTGTGCAGGTGGTTGGTCACTGTGAGAACAAACTGCTGGAGTAGATGGGCCAGGGGTCTGATCCAGCAAGGCACTGCTTATGTTCTTATGTAAGCCATGATCAGCAGACTAGCGTAGGTGAAGCCAGGTGCTGATTCAAAGTTTTCTTCTCTTTGGCTGGAGCAGCTGGCACAGGTAAAGGGGGAGCAAGTTACATGGCTAAACCTGCACAGCCCTACTCTCCGGAATGGGGAGGGGGTGGCTGATGGCTTGAGGATGTTCTCTCTGTCTTTTCACTTGTATATTTTTGTAAGATTTTTACTGTTTTTATGGCTTTTCTCTGTGAGCTGCCTAGAGTCACTTATATAGTGAAATGGCCAGCGTATAAATTTGATTTATAAATAAATGAGTTTTGGTAAACTGATTGGGCAGTAGATTGAAAAGCCAGGATCATCCCACTTGAATAGGAACATATCATAAGCCTAAGCAGACATGAAAATAGAATTTTATTGAGAAAGTTTTCTTTAAAAAAAGTCCTGTGGGTTTATGGAAAGGATAATCCTGACTTAATCCTTTGGGATTAAGGGTCTGTACTCAAATCAAGCACTAGGTATGAAACACAAATGATATCTACATACATAGGCCTGCCCTCTATTTTATAACAGAATTATGATAGAAGACATACAATAGAAGGGCAGGAAAAGAAAGGAGGTAAGTTTGAGATGAGCTGTTCCATCAGGTTAGGACTTTGGGGCAAACATCTAAGGCCCCAATCAGCAAAAAAGGAACAATCCTTTCTTGCATCTCTTCTGCCTATGTGAAGCTTTCCCCTCCACGGGTTTAGCTTTGAGCAGCTCCTCTGGGTTGTACCTTCTGTGCCACCTGGTAAGGCTTCACAATATTTACAATGAAGGCCACAGTCACCGTTTCTAGGAGGAATATTTATGCACACGTGCAGCTTGAAAAGACATATTGGTTCATGAGACAAAACGTAGCATAAATGCCACAGGTAGACGCTCAAGATTTCTTTTTCTTTTAAACAAAATCCCCAGTTGTTGACACTTTGTGTGGTCATTGCGTGTCCCTTTTTTTTTTTATTTTTGAAGTGGGTTTCTGAAGTTGCACTTTAAACTTTGCTTGTTCTGTGTCTTTATCAAAGAACCACCGTTAGGCAAGCAAAATTCAGCAAACTACGCCTAGGGAACCAAAATGCGAATTCACAACTGGATAATATGCTTTTTCTTATTTGCATTTATTGCTCACCCCGTAGACCTGACAGGTAGGATTTTTCCTCACATAATATTAACTGGATTTCTCTTAATTTTCAAAAAAAGAAACAAGAGCACAGGGGAGGGATATAATAGCTTTGTATTAGTACTGCCATCCAGAAATGATGGTGCCACTTACCCCTTAATGATAAAATGGGAGTGCGATCCTATGCATGATCCGCAGAAGTTAAGTCCCATTGAGTGCTATCAGATGTAGTCCCAGCTTAAGGGTAACTAGGACAGCAGCCTCGGTTACAAAAATTAGTTAGTTGCATTTTTGTTTTTACCAGAAAGAAGTATGCCATGGGAAGGGAAGGGAACCTTTTGTTCCTCTCTCTTATCTCCTCAGACTCCACTGCTATAGATATAGATTGCTATAGATAAGCCCAGGAAGGGGTGGTTGGAAAAAGAAACCTGCAGATTTGCTTCAGGATGAAGCACTGAACCAAAAATGAGCAGGGCTTAGCTTCTCTCACCTCGAGACAGGTTTCGTAACAAAAATGAGACCCTTCCCTATTCGTTTTGCCATTATTGAAGAAGGGGAATTTTGTGCAGAACTCCCATGTTCATCACTGCTG